TCACACTGACGAGATGCCATTCATCTGTTCCGAGTGTGGGAAAGAATTCACTCAGTCATCACATCTGCTGAAACGTAAGCAAATTCACAAGTGAATATGGGAGTTGATATTAATGAGCAATTAATGAGCTATTAATGAGCAACAGCATCCGTGCTGTTGGGTAGCTGTTATGAGACCATCACCACCTGCAAACACCCCTCCATGTTGCACACCATCCTCACTTAGAACTATATCGTCCATTCCTTTACTGTCACTGGGTCGAAATCCTCTAACTCCTCCCTCACAGCATTATGGGTGTGCCTCCACCACAAGCACTGTGATTCAAGAAGGAGCTCACCCCTACTTTCTCCAGGAGGACATTTAGGGATCGGAAATAAATTTTGACATAGACATTGATACTATACCCATGAAGTGATTTTAAAATGAGGGAAAATCACATCCAAGACTGAGCCATATTCATTTGGTGAAGGGTCAGAGGGTTCTTTCTGCTGGACTGGCCACTCTCACCACTTAGCTTCCAGTGAGGCTGATGCACTTTGAACCTGGGAATGTACATTACTACTTAAATTGTCCCCGAAAGCTGAAGAAGAACATTTATCCTGGACAGGCAATAATTTTGTTTTTCCCTACTCTGAAATCTGACGTAAATACATGTGTCTGAGCCATGGAGTCTGCAGCACAGGCCAGGCCAGACAACTCAATTGTCAGAGTTTAGACTCCACATGAGACTCCACCCTCCCCTCTTCATCTCCCCCTATCAGCAGATACTTCTGTTCCATTCCCCTACATGAATATGTCCAGCTGCTACCCTGCTCCTCCTTGGGGGTGGAGGCTGTGCGTTTGGAAGATTCCAACAAAGTTCTGGTAAATTTATATATAAAATTCCTCTCTTTCAGTCCCTGCCTTTCACTGTATCTTCATGTGGAAGTCAGAGTCTTTTGAGAATGCTATTTTTTTGTTTGACTTCAATTTCACAGGATATTGGAAGGGGAAGATTTACAAACTAAATATCACACCTTGATCTGATGGAGTTGCCCAATTTATCACAAACAGAATGTCATCAGATTTTGAACATGGGTGTAAAAGGCCCCGTTCACAGTGGAGAGAAAGTTGTACACATTTTATGTGTGTGGAGAAGGCTTCAGCCAATCATCAGACCTAACAAGCCACAAATAGTCATACTGGGGAGAGACTGCACAAATATGGGGATAGTGGGGAGCAATCCATTTCCCCATCTGAGCTAGAAAATCATTTACACAGTCACATCAGTAACAGGCCATTCACCTGCTCAGACAGTGGTTGGGATTCACTCAGTCATCTAACCAGCTGGAACACCAGCTGATTCTCTCTGATGAGAGACTATTTCAATGCCTGAACTGGGTGAAGTGCTGTAAAAATTCCAAGGGACCACCAATGTGTCCATACTTTTAAATATCCAGACTGTGGAAAATGCTATATAATGTCCAGGGTTCTGGAGTCCACCAAAGTGCTCACACAGAAGACAGGCCTTTTAAATGTTCAAACTGTGGAAAATGCTTTAAAACTTCTGAGAACCTGTTGCCTCATCAACTTGCTCACATTAATGGGAGACCTTTTAAATTCCCAGACTGTGGGAAATGATACAAAACATCCAGGACCTGATGTTCACTCTGAGGAGAGACTGTAGAGGTGCTATTTCTGTTGGACTGGGTCTAGGCAATTATCTGACCTCATGGAGCACCAAACAAGTTCACACTGCAGAGAGATGTTTTAATTGCCCAGACATCAGGAAATGCTACACACGCTTCTGGAGATTGACATCATGAATGTATTCATACTAAGGAGACAGCCCTTAAATGGGCAGCCTGTGAGAATCACAAGTTTCTGGGAACTGTTTTATCATTAATGTGTCCACATTGAGTTCAGACCTTTCAAATATCTAATCTGTGGGAAGTGCTATCTGTGGAACTGACACCCCATGATGGGAGACCTTTCAGGTGCTTTCACTGTGGCACTGGGTTCAGGCAATCATCACCAATCTCAGACTGCCAATGAGTTCACAGTGGGAGAAACCATTCACCTGCTCTGTGGATAAAAAAATGATTAGCTCACTCATCCACACTGCTGAGACAGCAGAGAGATCACACATCTCAACAGGATTGGACTTGCTGTTAATCAAATTCAGGACTGAAAGCAAAGTTTAATTTTCTGGATAAAAGTAAAAAATTAATCAGTTTTGTGTTAATTATACTGTGGCAGGTCATTGTAATACTTTGATTAGAAGTTAGGTACTTTTGTAGGATTCTCCCTCCCCTGCATCTTCACTTTGAACAGCCGTTCACGCGTCCACTAAGCCATACATTCACTAAAGCTGCAACTCCTTGCTTCCTCAACACTACCTGTCTTTCCAGCTATCTTTGTGTCACTTGAAAACCTAGCTACAATGCCCTCAGTTCCTTTATCAAGATCATTAATGTATATTGTGAATAGTAGTGGTCCCAATACTGAACCCTGTGGAACTCCAGTAGTCACTGACCTCTGTAATAAAAAAAATTCCATCATGTCTATTCTCCTCTTCTGCCAGTCATCCAATCCTTTATCCATGCCAGGATCTTACCCCTAACACCCATGGACTTTTATATTCTTTAGCAATCTGAACTGCTTAAACACTTTCATATTTTGTGTGTGAGTAAAATTTAGCCCTTCTTATTTATTTATTTTTTTTAAATATAAGGGAGAACAAATTCACACAATCAGAGACAGTGCATTGACCTAATATTATAGAACAAGTTCTGAAACCAAGTTTGGTTCACATCCAGTTTTTGAGTAGGATGTCATGTATCATAGAGTCAAAGAGCACAGCAATCACCCTTCATTCCAACTCATCCATGCCGACCAAGTTTCCCAAATGAGACTAGTCTCACTTGTCTGTGTTTAGCCCATATCACAGACTAAAATAAGGAAAGATGAGGAACATAATCAGGAGGCTCAAATCTGCTACGGGACAACTAATAGGTTTCAAATCCATCACCTTCACCACTTGGCCATGACTGCAGAACACGCAGCATTGTCAATATAGCAGTTCTGCCCCCATCAGGGACCCTCTTATCCTTCACAAATGTGTGATAATCTCTAGTTTTCACAGATACAGATGCTCTGTGTTCCTGTGTATGATATCATCACACAGCGACAATTGCACTGAACCTCACTGTTCGTAAGGGTGATAGAAGTCAGGCAGAAATTATGTTAATGTTTAAAATGTATTTAGATGTACACTGGCAAAAACAGTCATGGCTACAGGTCAAGTGCTGGAAAATGGGATTGGAATAGTTAGGTGGTTGTTTATAACTGGCACAAACACAATGGTCTTTTTCTGTAGTGTATACCTCTGAAAAACTTAATATATGAATTTAATAAGCACTTGAATCCAAGTCAGAAAAGGAGATATTAGAGTAGATGACTTATAATTGGTCAATCTTTTCAGGAGGGAAGTGAGGTAGAGAGGCAGAGTGGTTTAGATGGAACTTCAGAAGCTCGGGGCACATCTGAAAGTGCCTTCAATTGGAGAAATAAAATGGGTTATCCTCATCAGGCTGAAATAAGAGGAAAACACATATCTCAGAGATTTATAAGGCTGGAGTAGATTAGAGATAGGGAGGATTGTGAGGCTAGAGGAGATTATGGAGATCGGGAGGAATTTGAGGTTGGAGGAGATTACAGATAGTGAGGTTTGTGAGCTGGAGGAGATGAAAGAGCTAGGGAAGGTTGTGAGACTAGAGGTTGTTGTGATTGGAATGAGGTTTGCCAGGTGGACATCAGAATCAGGGAGCCGTGTCTGATAGAGATAAATGGAGTGTCAGGAGTTCTGATCCCTCTAAACTCCAGCTCTGAGCTATCTGGATCAGTGTCTTGTGTCATGCACATGTAAATAAAGGATAGCTTGGTGATAGAATTACTCGGTGGAGTAATTTCTGGGGAATTATAGAGATAGGGAGGATTGTGGGGCTGTGGGAATACAGAGATAGCGGGAGTTGTTGGGGCTGGAAGATGTTACAGAAGTAAGGAAGTTTGTGCAGTGACATGATTGTGAGGCTGAAGGAGATTATAGAGATAGGGAGTCTTGTCAGGTATCGAGGGGTTACAGAGATATGGAGAGTTGTGAGGTTGGAGGGTATCATAGAGATAGGGAGGTTTGTGAGGCTAGAGGAGTCTTTGAAACAGCACTGTGCTGTTCTTACAGCATATGCACTGCAGCAGTTCAAGAAGGCATTTCACAACCTCTTTCTACAGGTCAAATAAAAATGGACACTGTTTTCTGATCTGGGCAGCAAAGACCACATCCCATGAATGAATTATAATTAAGATGGATTTCTATTTTGTGGAGAGGTAGCAGTTTTCACAATTTTAACCACAGAATACAATTTTCAGATAATTGACAAATAATTCAGGGTGAAAATGTGAGGATTATTTTACTCAGCACATTCTGAGCATCTAGAACAGTTTGAACAGCAACTTGATGCAGATTCGGCAGTTACTCTCAAAAGAGATTTAGAAATAGAAATAGATTTTATTGCCACATGTACTCAAGTGTAGTAATACGAGTTCAGTGAAAATTGTACAAAGCCGCCATTCTCCAGCACCGCATTGGTTGCAAAACTAATATTTATTTTCAAAGAAAAAAAAGTTGAAAATGTTACTTTTTGAGGAAAGACATGGAGGGCAAATGACAAGAGAGTTAGGACAAACTAGTAGCATCTCCAGAGGGAGAGGCCACAGGTGCACTGGGCTGGATGGCCACCCATCCCTGTGCTCTGTGCTACTGCCCCACTTACTCCAGGGCAGTGAGGATTCCACTTCTGGCCTCACGATGGGGCCCGGCTGATTGACGGCAGCTCACTGACCAAAAGGAGGAGAGAGGGCGGGGCTGGCGCACCAAGCTGTTGCGGCTGGTCCTCCAACCAATGGGTGTGAATGAGGGGCGGGGCTAGTGGGACACGTGACCGTTAACGCCGCAGGCGTAGTGTCGTGTGACTGGCGCGTGAGTGAGTGAGGGAGGCGGAGACAGGAAAGTAGAAGAATCAGAGAACACTGGGAGAAAACTGGAGTCAGTCTGGACTGGGAGTTTGTGTGAACACCCGGTGTATGCCGATTGATGCGAATTAAAAACTTCCGGTGCTGCGTTGGCAACGAACGGGAAAACGGCTGCGGGCCTCAGGCGGTCATTGACCCAGGTAACCGCCGCCATATTTAGCGGGTGGTGGAGGGGGGAAGCCAGGTGCCGTAGCGCATGCGTAGTCTTGTCCCTGGGCGGGACGATTTGAAGAAGTGTATTTGCACGGCAAATGAAACCCAGAGAAATGTTTGCCTTCTCTAGGTTTCAATCTTGCACTGGCAGTGTTTTTTGTGTGAATTCGTTTTACAGGATATTAATTAAGACGGATTTGCAGACCGGGAACTCTAACCAAGTTCTGACAGTCAGAGGAGTGATCCAGATCTGAATATTCTTGGCATTTACACCACCGTGTGGAGCTGGAGGAACGCAGCAGGCCAGGCAGCAGCAGAGGAGCAGGAAAGTTGACGTTTCGCGTCGGGACCCTTCTGAGTGAGTTATAGCCTCACTGCAAAACCGTAAATTTCTTTCTCCTCTGATGCTGCCTGGCCTACTGTGTTATCTCTGACTCCAGCGCCTGCAGTTTTTACTATCTCTGATCCTTGGCGTTTAACTGTGGAAGGAAAAAGGTTTGTCTGTTCTGTCTGTGGGAAAATATCTCCAATATGTTTGTAACTCCAAAAAACAGCAAGATGTTCAACTTCATGGTTAACTTTCTCCTGGGTATATGCTCAATTCTGGGGCTGAGGAAGGACATATTAACATGAAAGGGGCACAGATTTACCTAAATAACACCTCATCTCTTTGAATGAACTTTCATACTTTGTCCCAATCATCTACTTCATCATTTTAACCTATAATTTCCTCATTTTCAAATGCCTGCAAACTTCCTTTAAAATTCCTTGTGGACTTGTGTTATAGCACCATTTCAGGTGGAACCATCCAGATCCTTGAGTCCAAAGCGTTATAGTGTGCTGAATTGAAACATGAGATGCTGTTCCCTGAGCTCCCATTGAGCTCCATTGGAACAGTGCAGGAGGCTGAGGTCAGAGTGGGTGTGAATAGACAATTAAAATGATATGGCTGCTCTGAGTGCTGATTGTATTAATAAGAGTGTTTTGGGGTTGGATGAAAACAGATAGTGAGGTGAGATATGCAGAAGGTCAAGCTGAAAGATTGAATGCAGTGCTCAATCTCAGCCTGAGCAGTTCAGAAAGTGACATGGGGCCCAATCGAAACAATCATCTGGTATGTGATATCTCTAGAGTATTTTATTACAGTTTTTAAAGTATAATATATCAGCTAAAGTACAGGTAGGAGCTTCTGATTATAATACTAATGTTTGAAACAAAGGAAGATCCCTACCTCAGAAACCTGGTGTGTTCCTTTTGCACAATGTGGGAGGTAAGGAAGTATCTGTGATGGCTACATGTGCGGGAAGTGTATCCATCTGCAGCTACTGGCTGGCTACTTTTCAGAGCTGGAGCTATGGGTAGACTCACTGTGGAGCAGCCACAATACTGAGAATGTGAAGGACAGTGCGTTTAGTGATGTGGTCGCACCAAAGATGAGAATTACTGTTGGCACATGGGAATGGGTGACCATCAGATAAAGTAAAAGGCCCAGGAAGGAAGTGCTTTGGATACTTGGGATTGTCAGGATGGGCCTCATGGAAAATCAGCAACAGTCAAGTTCATGGCAGTATGGGTGGCTCGGCTGCATGGGAGGGGAAGAAAAAAGGGCCACAGTGAAAGGATTCAGTAGTCAGGGGTACAGACAGGCATTTCTGTGGCTGTAGACATGAATCCAGGACGGTATATGACCTTCCTGGTGCCAAGATCAAGGATAGCATGGAGCGGCTACGGCACATTCTGGAGTTGGAAGGTGAACAGCCAATGGTTGTGGAACATGTAGATACCAACAACATGCCTAAGTAAAGGGATGAAGGCCTGAAAGTTGATTATAGGAAGATAGGAGATACATTAAAATACAGGACCTCAAATGCAATAATGTCAGACTTAATCTCACTGCCACGTGCTGGCAAGAGCAGGAACAAGAGGATAGATCAGATGAATGTGAAGCTGGAGAAATGGTATACCAGAGAAGACATCCTGGAGGCATTAGGACCATGTCTGTGGGTTTTGGGACCTGTACAAGCTTGATCAGTTACCTCTAGGCAACGTTAAGAAAAATCTCCTTTGAGGGTTTCTGCTAATTCCTTTGGTGAGGATTTAAACTAGTACGGCAGGGGAATGGGAACCGAAACATAGGCTTAGATGGGTCAGATCCAGATCAGGAAATAGGAAGTAGAATATTGGCTAGTGATGCAGTCAGCATCTCAGAGAGACAAAATAAAGGAGGATTACACAAGGATAGATTCCCTCTTCATACATCAGTCCTGACATCCCAGGAATCAGTTTGGTGAACATTCTTTACCCCCTCTCAATAGTCAGTGCATCCTTCCTGAGAAAGGAGAACAAAGGTGCACACAATACTCTAGGAGTAGTCTTGTGGTCTCACCAAAGCTCTTAGAGAAAGATGTCCCTGCTCCTGTACTTGAATCCTCTCATTATGAAGGCCAAAGTACCATTTGCATTCTTCACTGTTTGCTGTGCTTGCCTGCTTACTGAAAGAGAGTCACTGAGAAACGCAGAACAAAATGGAGTTAGAGTATCTGACAAAATTGTAAAGAACAATGTCCCCATCATATCCACACTGGTCATCAAGCACCTATTTACACTAATCCCATTTCCTGGCACTCCACATAACCTGTATTGTAGTCCCTTGTATGATCATCAAAATCACTTCAAGGTTGCAGTGGTTTCACATCTGACACCATTTCAGATGCTGCCAGACCCTGCTGAGTAGCTCCAGCATTTTCTGTTTTTATATCGGATTTCCACCATTTTTTGCTTAATCAGGGAGTCATGGGGATATATACAACACAGAAACAGATTGTTCAGTTCAACTCATTTGTGCCGACCAGATATTCTAAACTGATCTCGTCCCATTTGCCAGCATTTGGCCCATATCCCTCTAAACGCTTCCTATATATGTACCCATCCAGATGCCTTTTAAATATTGTAATTGTATCAGCCTCCACCACCATCTCTGCCAGCTCGTTTCATCATGCACTATCTTCTGTGTGAAAAGATTGCCCCTGAGGCCCCTTTTGAATCTTTCCTCTCATACCTTAAACCTATACCCTCTAGATTTTGACTCCCTATCCTGGAAAAAAAACTTTGGCTATTCACCCTATCCATGCCCTTCACAACTCTATAAACCTCTATATAGTCACCACTCAGCCTCTGATGCTCCAGGGATTAAAGCCGCAGCCTGCTCATCATCTCCCTGTAACTCAAAATCTCTGAACACAGCGAAACCCTTTCAAATTTAACAACATCTTTGCGATAGCAAGGAGACCAGAACTGAACACAGTATTCTAAGTTTGGCTGAACCAATATCCTGTACAGCTGCAACAGGAACTTCCCAACTCCTCTACTCCATGCACTGACCAATTATGGTAGGCATTCCAAATGCCTTCTTCACCCCATTGTCTACCTGCAACTCCACTTTCTAGGACTTATGCACTTGTTCTTAACCATTCCGATGGATGGAAGGGCAGGGGACGAAAATGAGTATGGTATTCAGTTGTAGATCTATAAATTGTCTTGGCTTCATGTCTGTCATTCCCACCTCTACCTCTTTCTGTAGTTTTGTACAAGCGCTGACGGGTTCCCTTTCCTGAAGAGCTATATGAGCCAATTCAGTTTTAATGATAATCCAACAGTTTCCTTCAGTGTCATCTCCACAACTGACCAGATTAATTGCTCTCAGTTTTGCAACCTGTGTGTTCTTCTGGTTTTTCCTAACACATTTGCTTCCTGTTTGAAAAGTTGTTTTTATTTAGAAACTTCAAATGAAATCAAATCCAGATCCACTAGTCACTCTGTTTATCATAACCTAATTATCTCAGGATTATGAACATTGAAGGAGAAAGCACCATTCACATCGAGGAGAAAAATGTACCATCTGAATGTGGAAGAGTCTGTGAAGATTCATCTGAAATGTCCAAACGTCAGCACAGTCACACTGGGGAGAGACTGTGGATATGTGGTGATTGTGGAAAGGAATTATTTTCCCCATCCAAGCTGGAAATTCACCAATGCAGTGACACCGGGGAGAAGCCGTTCACTTGTTCTGATTGTGGGATGAGATTCACTCAGGCATCCAGCCTGCTGAAACATGAGAGAGTTCACACTGGAGAGAGACCATTCACCTGCTCCAAATGGGGGAACGCATTCACTCCGTCATCCAACCTGCTGAGACCCCAGCGAGTTCACACTGGGGAGAGACCATTCACATGTTCCGAATGTGGAAAAGGATTCATGCGGTCATCCAGTCTGCAGATACACCAGCGAGTTCACACTGGAGAGAGACCATTCACCTGCTCCGATTGTGGGAAAGGATTCACTTGGTCAGCCAGCCTGCAGATGCACCAGCGGGTTCACACTGGAGAGAGACCATTCACCTGCTCCGATTGTGGAAAGGGATTCACTCGCTCATCCATCCTGCAGATACACCAGCGAGGTCACACTGGGGAGAGACCATTCACCTGCTCTGATTGTGGAAAGGCGTTCTATTCATCATCCAGCCTACAGATACACCAGCGTGTTCACACTGGAGAGAGACCATTCACCTGCTCTGATTGTGGAAAGGGATTCACTTCGTCTTCCAACCTCCAGATACACCAGCGAATTCACACTGGGGAGAGACCATTCACCTGCTCAATGTGTGGGAAAGGATTCACTCAGTCATCTAAACTTCTGGAACACCAGGGAATTCACACTGGAGAGAGACCATTCAATTGCTCCCAGTGTGGGAAAGGATTCACTTCCTCATCCAGCCTGCTGAAACACCAGCGAATTCACACCGGGGAGAGACCATTCACCTGTTCTGATTGTGGAAAAGGATTCATTTGCTCATCTAAACTATTGCAACACCAGCGAGTTCACACTGGGGCGAGACCATTCACTTGTTCTGAATGTGGAAAAGGATTCACTTCATCATCCAACCTGCTGGAACACCAGCGAATTCACACAGGGGAGAGACCATTCACCTGCTCTGATTGTGGGAAGGGATTTACCAAGTCATCCCATCTGCGGAGACACCAGCGAGTTCACACTCGGGAGAAACCTTCACTCAGTCTAGTCACCTGCTGATACACCAGCCTGTTCACTCTGTGGCAAGACTATTGACTTGTTCCATATGTGAGAAGGGATTCATTCTGTCATCCAAATTGTTAACACACCAGTGAAATGACACTGGTTGGATCCCGTTCACTTGCTGTGTTTGTGGAAAAGGCTTTGCTGTTTGCTAATATACCAGCAAATTCACAAAGAGCCACAGTGATGGGTTTTGCATTTACTCACACCAAGGAATGAGCCTTTATCTCTGGAATGTTAGTAAAGCTGTTATCAAATTAAGCTCTTTTGAAAGGTACTGATGTTATAGATAAAATGTTGATAAAAATGTTTTCAAAATGATCACAATGTCATTGTACATCAACGCATTTACAGTGGGTAAAGACTGTCCACCTACATATTGTTTGTAAAGTTATTTTGTGGTTCATATGGAGTAGTTAAACAACAATGAGCTACCCGTAACTGTCGGTGTTGGATTTTGATGCTATTGTTATCTATATTCAAATCTTGGCTTCTGTACCTGTTTCTGATGATATTTGTAAATACTTCGGTTCAATGACCTATCTGGAATAAAGATAATCCAAATCATCTTTTTGTTAAATTTATGTTGCATCAAGACTTTGTCTCATTCTGAGTGCCTTTGAGATAAGCTGATCAGTACCTTTCACATGAACAGTTGGGAGCGGGAGCAGGAACATCCACAGTGAGATACAGCCTGTAATGCTGGAAATTTAGATAAATGTGCAGATGGGGTGCTTGTAACTTAACTTCGCAAGGGGATGGGATCCAGAGAGAATGTCCAAAAAAGTGAGAAGAATCAGCAAGTGAGTCAGGAAGGCATCGACATGACAGGCCAGTTCAGGTAGAAGGGAGTTTAACATGATTGAATGGCATTGATTTTAATGCTGTGAGTTTGTCAAACGAGGCAGATGAGTAAAGGATACAAATTCAAATAATTGAGTACAATGACATTGCTGTCATTGAGACACGCTTGAGAGAAAGGAAAGGATTGGAAGCTTAATACTTCAGCATACAAGGTCTTCATGCGAGACAGCAAAGGAGTCAAAAGAAGAGGACGTCTCATAATTTTGTTTCAGAAATTTATTACAGCAATAAGGAGAGACGACATCTTAGAAAACTCCTTAAATAAACCTTTATGGGTGGAACAAGTAGAGCTAGTAAGGAGGCAGATTTCAGGGAAGTGTAAAAGTAATAGGGTCGTGACAGTGGGGGATTTCAATTTTCTCAACATTCACTATGGTCGTCATTGTGTGAAAGGTTTCGAGAAAGTTTTAAAATAGATCCAGGACAGCTTTTGAAGCTAGTATGTAGAAGTCCAAACAAGGAAAGGGGAGGTCCTAGACTTAATTTTAGGTAGTAAATACGTGGTTGAAGTATCGGGATCGGGGGCGGTGGGGGGGAGGATTTTGCAGACAGTTATCAGAACTTCTAAAGAGATTCAGAATTGTTATGGAAAAGTAGAAGAATGGACCTCAAATCAAAGTTCTAAATTGGCTGATTTTAATGAGACCAGAAATGATTTGGCCAGAGTGTGCAGGGAGCAGATACTTTCAGGTGCATGTGCAAGAGGCAACTTAAATGGGGAGATAAGGAGACGAATAAGGGGAACATGAATTGATGCAGCCAGGTAAAATACAGGCAAATGCTCAGTTGTTTTACAAGTACGTTAATAGTTAAAGGATAATGGGAGGAAATAGTAAGACCCATCAAGGACCACAGTGTGTGGAGCCAGAGGATGTAAGCCTGGTTCTAAATGAATACATTGTGTCAGTGTTCATTAGTGAGACAATTTAAAGAAATTAGCATAGTGAGAGAGGAGCTTTTGAACAGGCTGAGGGACAGAATTAATTTAAATTGGAGAGGCAGGGATTAATAAAAAACAGCATGCATATTTGTAATGAGAGTTCACGTCTGACCAATTCTATTCAATTTTTCAATGAGATGTCCAGGTATATCAGTGAGGGCAGTACATTTGATGTAGTATCTTTGGATGTCAGCAAGGTTTTTGATAAGGTCCTACATGGGAGACTGATAGCAAAGATAAGAGCCCATGGAATCCACAATTGGCTGAGTGGCAGGAAGCAGAGGTGATGTTCGAGTAATGTTTTTTTTTCTGACTGGAAATCTGTGTCCATTGGGGTCCCACAGAGTTCAGTGTGGGCTTTTGCTGTTTGTGGTTTATATAAATGATTTAGACTTGAATGTAGGAAGGTTCATCAGCTGGGTGGCATGATGGCTCAGTGGTTGGCACTGCTGCCTCACAGGACCAGGGACCTGGGTTCAATTCCAGACTTGGGTGACTATGTTGAGTTTGCAAATTCTGTCTGTGTGGGTTTCCTCTGGGTACTCTGGTTTTCTCCCACAATTCAAAGATGAGCAGGTTAGATGGATTGACCATGCTAAATTGCCCCTAATGTCCAGGGATGTGTAGGCTAGGTGGGTTAGCCATGGGGATTACAGGGTTATTGGAATAGAGTAACAGGTTGAGTCTGGATGGGATGCTCTCTGGAGGGTTTGGTGTGGACTTGTTGGGCTGAAAGGCCTGCTTCCACACTGAAGGGATTCTATGGAGTTAATTTGCACATGATAAAAAAGTAATGGGTGGTAAATAGTGAGGAGGGCAGCCTTAGTTTACAGAAGGATATAGAAAGGCTGATCAATGGTTAATGGATTTCAATCTGGATTAGTGAGAAGTGACATGTTTGGACATTTCATTTGGCTGTTAGCCAAAAGGTTGGTGGTTGGTAGACCAGCCAGGGAAGGAAGCCTATTTCCTTTTTTTTCCCATCAGCATACTCTGTGACACAGTCCTGGATTGTCAGTGGGGATTTTGGCTGCAAGGCAATTTCGCCTAATGTGCCCTCCACAATTAGACCTCAAATGACAGCTTCTAATGCATAGTGCTGCGAATTATGAAGAAAGACTCTTGCTGCAATGGCTCTTTTAGAAGTACTATCTATGCTCTTTCTCCTTGAGTCAAGAACTCTCAACAGGAAATTGCTTACAGTAAAATTATGAACTTTCATTCAATCTTAACTCAATCTTTGAAACAAAATTTACAATTGAGTTTCTGAAAGGTTCCACTGATTAACATTGCAAGTGAAAAATAAACCATTGCTGATGATTCTGACTGACTTGCACGTTCACCCACATTTTCAGCTCCATTATGAAATTACACAGGAAGGTGAAATGAAACAATAAAGTATTTTACAAGGTGCATCGATAAAACCTTCTTCAATCAAAATTTGTATTGATGAGATTTAGAAGTCGTTGAATCAAATTATTTATGACACTATAGCAGCAATATGTGGGAAAGGCAGAAGCCATAACAAAGACTAGTTTGAGGCCTATTCAGCAGAGATGATGTCTATCACTGAAGCAAAAAATGAAGCCAATCAGATATGCAACATAAATCCAACAGCTCGAACACTGCACAACATGAAAGCAGCTAAGACAGTTATGTAAAAGACAAGGAGATTGTGTGCAAATAAAGGCTGAGTGATCCCACACAGGAACCAAGTAAGATTTTTTTTTAAATATGTAATGTATTGAAGGGTTTAGGAGAGCAGGCAGGAAAGTGGAGTTGAGGCCAAGATGAGATCAGCCAAGATTGTATTAAATGGCGGAATAGGCTCAAGATACTGGCGATTACTTCTGCTCCTAGTTCTTATGTGTTTATGTGGAAGAAATTCACACTGCCTGTGACAGGGGAAATCTATGGGCTATTTGGGATGAACAAAGAGGGCATCTGGTCCAACCATCACTGAAGTTACCCTCCTGAAATCAGACAGCAACAATCTCACTGGCAGAAGCAAGTAGATGCCCTGCTGGGTTGAACACGACTATGAGCAGTACTCCCATTAGTTGGACATCTTCCCACCTCCGTTTGATGCTCTCCTACAGCTTCCAGTCATCGTTAAGTTGGACCAGGAATACTGAAGGTTCAAAAGGAGTTAATTGCTTACTTGTGAGGGTGGAATTTGCCTGAATTTTTGAAGTTTGAAAACTCACCAGAACTGCTGCTGTTTCATGACTTCCTATTCCTCTGCAGGGAGACGGGGTCTATTCCCGAGGATGTGAGAGATGCAAAAATTACTGCAATTTACAAAACCCAAAGCCTCTAGAGGAGATTACAACAACCACAGGAACATCTCATTCAGCGTCAGAAAGCCTTCTGTGGGGTCATATTTAAAAAGTCTTCATCTGCCTCCAGACTAACTGTGTCCAGAAGTACACCTGTGATACAAAGTCATATAAGGTATGGACCAAGTGACGGAAAATAAGATTTGAATAGTGAGGAGGTTGTTTTCAACTGATGCAGACTCAATTAGCCAAATGGCCATTTTTTGATGTACGCATCTGTGACCCACTCCTTTCAAACCACAATCCATGTATTGTACCATCTGACAGTATGACATTTGAAATTTTCTGTGTGAGTAATGGAGTAAAACATGCCAACACCAAAGTCAAAAAACCACAACAACTCCTGATAACTATGAATAATAATACTTTCTCTCAGGGAGATAGGACAGGGAGGTATAACTTTGAATGAAGAGATGAGGAAATAAAGTCCAATGAGCGATTCTATTAAAACACTGCTTTCCAAAACTTTTCCTGATGTGACCCCAGAGTAAGCTTTTGAGGGGCTGGTATGAGTACCGAGGAATGGGGAAAGGGAAGATAGATTGGGGTTTATTAATAGATTCATCGTGCAGTTGGACACATTATTAATGCATTAACATCTGTATTATTCACGTTTAAAAAAATCAGGAATGACTTTGATATAATACAGTCCTAACGATTGATGGAACAGAAATCTGATTATTAATTGAAATAATTCTGAATAGATTTGAATTAGTATCCTGATTATTGGTGCAATAAGTTCCTGCTTACTGATGAAGTATGCAACAGGAACTGTGTAAATTATCAGATCATGATTAACGTAATAGAATCCTGATTGTTAATGTAATAGGGCACTGATTATTGGCAGGCACCAGACTATTAATGTAATTTTGTCCTGATAATTAATGTGTTAGTCTCACAAAAGATGGAGTAATAGGATTCTGAGAATAGATGTAATAGGAAGCTGATTTTTCATGTAGTTGGACTCTAAGCATTGATGTAACAAGATCCTCATTAATGACACAACAGGATTCTGATTATTAACGTAACTGAATCATAATTATTAATACATTACGATACTGAATTTTGATGCAACATTTTCCTGATTATGAAAACATCAATTCTCTGCAATAAGAATTAAACACCTGCCCTTTCACAGGCTTGTTTCAGTGCAGTGGGGCCTCAGGGGGCAGTCCAAAAGGTCACAAGGGGATGTAAAGGGACCTTGCAGCTGTCAGACGTGACTGGGAACTCGTAAATCCAAACGGCAGATTCTTACAAGCAGCATTAAACAGGAGACAGGGGAGATGTTGAGGAAGGTCTTGAGCAGCAGAGTTTCAGATCATCTCACAGTTTCGGGTGAGGGTGGATTGAACGTAAGAGGCTGGTCAGGAAGGCACTGGAATTGTCAAGTCTAAAGGAAACACTGGCATTGGTAAGGGTTTCAGCAGCCAATGAGCTGGAAGTGAAATATCTGGTGTCAGCAATACTTTGATTTTGTGGTCGGAAGCCAATCTTAAGGTTAAATGTCTGAGTGGGATTGTGATAAGCATGGTTCAGCCCCATACAGTTGACAGGGAGAGGGATGGCAATGAGGTAGAGCTGGGAGTTATTAGTGCTTGTGTGAAAACTAACGCTGTACTCCTGAATGATATCACCCTGGGGCAGCGTGGAGATGAGAAATAGGAGGGGCCAAGGATGGATCTTTGGAGGACGCCAAGTCCAAACAACTTGGAGACAAAAGGGAGTTTGGAGAAGAGGGCAGTCATTTGCAAGGAAAATGAGTTCAAGGGTGTTTTTCTCCCGATGTGTGATGACAATGGAATTAAAGGTGGGAAGGACAGAACCAGAAGAGAGACTGAATGTTAACAATATCGAAAAACATGGGGAAGCTTTTGTTAATAGTTTAGCGGGATTAGGTTCAAGGTAGGTCTCATGGGCAAGATAAGCTCTGACAACAAGTGATAGGAAATAGGAGAGAAGCTGGAGCAGGTCTCAGACAAAGAGGAATTTCGAGTGGGTTTTTCCAATGGGCTAGTGGTGGGAGAGGAAGAAGTAGAGGCAGCTGATCGGATCAATGAAGGGACAGAGAGAGGGAGACCCCTTCAAATTGAAGTGTCAAGGATGCTAAAAAGAAAATTAGGCACTCTGTGTGTTGAACACAAAACTGATTTATTTGACTATTTTACCAAATATTAGCACTTGTGACTGAGTAAACATCAGCTAAAATTGACCCTGATGAATATAGCTCCATTCTAGTTGTGGTTAACAGCAAAACCCAGCCCTTGCTGCATTCGCTTGTGAAGTTGCTGGTGCCGAAGCAGGTAAGCTGACTGAGTGAATCTCTTCCCACACACCGCACAGGTGAATGGTCTTGAATTCACTTGTGTACACTGAGGTCAGATGATCACCTGAACCCAGTCCCACATCAAGAGCACTTGAACGGTCTATCATCAGTGTGAATATGTTGATGATGCTTCAGATCTCCGGGACTTTAAAAGCTTTTCCACAAATTGGATACTTAAAAGGTCTCTCGTCATTGTGGCCATGTTGATGTGACAACAGACCCTGGAACTTTTACAGCACTGCCCACAGTCTGCGCATTTGAAAGGTCTGTCTTCAGTGTGTACTCGCTGGTGTGCCATGAGCTGGGATGACTGAGTGAATCCCTTCCCACACACTGAGCAGGTGAATGGCCTCTCTCCAGTATGAACTCACTGGTGCGTCATGTGGTAAAATGACCGAGGGAATGCATTCCCACACTCAGTACAAGTGAATGGCCTCTTCACAGTGCATATTCGCTGGTGTACATAGAGGTCAGACGACCATCTGAACGCAGTCCCACAGTGAGAGCACCTGAACGGTCTCTCCTCAGAGTGAACATGCTGATGGGACATCAGCTCGGTGGAACCTATATGGCCCTTCCCACAGTCTGGGCATTTAAAAAGCCTCTCCTCCGTGTGAACCCACTGGTGTTTCAGCAGGTGGATGTCCAAGTAAATCCCTTCCCACACTCTGTGTAGGTGAATGGCCTCTCCCTACTGTGAACTCTAGGGTGTGCACGGAGATCATATGGTCAGCTGAACCCAGTCCCACAGTGAGAGGACTTGAACTGTCTCTTCTCCGTTTGAACACTTTGATTACTTATCAGTTCCCTGGAACTTTTAAAACACTTCCCACACACTGAACATTTCAGGGGTCTCTCGTCGGTGTGAACACATACATGGGATATCAGTTCACTGAAACATTTGTAGCAGTTCCCACAACGTTGGCATTTGTAAGGATCAGTGTGAACTTGCTGGTGAGTCAGCAGCATGAACGATTGAGTGAAACCCTTCCCACACGTGGAACAGATAAATGGCCATTTCTCAGTGTGACCATGTTGGTGAATTTCCAGATCAGAAATATAACTAAATGTCTCCTCGTAGTTCCCAGTTTTCCAAATTTTCTCCCCAACATGACTGCACCTGTGTTTCAACGGGCCAGATGATTGTCTGAACCCTTGTCCACGTACAGGACTCATGTACGGTTTCTCTCCACTGTGAACAGTGCTTTCTCCTTCCATGTTCAAAATCCGAGGATTTTCAGGTTGTGATAAATTAGGCGACTCCAGCAGATCCTGGTGTGATCCTGTTCTGAAGAAGTCATAACTTTAAATGTTCACATCGTTTATCTCTCTGCAGATGCAACCAGTCTTTCCCCAACATTTTCGATTTCTACTTCAGTTTTCCAAATAAGTCATTCTTCACTTTAATTGTAATAGAATGTTCACATTGGATACCAAATTTTAAATTGTATCTTTCTGTGAAATGGATTTAAAACAGCAAAAAAAGGGGATTAGGAGAAAAGCCACAAAACCATAAAAGCAGACTGTGTGAAATTGAGCTGAATGACTGAAACTTCATCAATTCTTTTGTTAGCACGAAACTTAACTAACCTCAGGCACTCCCAGCCAGACTTCCACATCCCAGTTCCTCATAACCTTGAGGTTTTATAACATTCTACTGTCCATGCACTCACATCAAATCTTAATCACCTACCCCCTGCAGTGCTTGTATGGAGGTCAGCCCACTGAACCTCAATATAAGGTCCCTGATTGGAGTTGTTAATCTGGTCCAATCAGGGAGCCCTGGCTGACATAGAAAGGTTGCGTGTCAGAGATACTGACACTCTGGTTCATGATTCTGTGTGAGCCAGTACTATAATCAAGGGTGACTTGGTAACAGGATACCATCCTCTATAGATGCCGTGCTAACTGACATTTACAGGCTATTTAAATTGTTTCCAGTAGTTTCCCAGCAATCAAGTAAAACTGGCTGGTCTGTTGTTGCTGGGCTTCTCTTCACATGTTTTTTTGAAGAAGTGTAATATTTGCAAATTCTCCAGCTTCTGGCACCACCCTTGGATCTATAGAACCTTAAGTCATTACAGGAATGCCTCTACCATTTTTCACTCTCACTTCCCTTATTATCTTTGGATGTATCTCATCCAGACTTGGTGTGTTATCCATATTGAATACAGACAGCATATCTAATACCACCTTCTTATCAATTTAAACCCTTCAAGTGCCTGAACTACCTTTTCTTTTACCATGACCTGCGCAGAATCCTCTTCATAAGGAATGACAGATCCAAAGTAATTATTTAATATTTCAGCTGTGACTCAGCATGCATGTGTAAATCTCAGTTTTGGTCCCTAATGAGCCCTAGTCTATACTTGCCTGACTATTACAATTTGAATGCCTAAACAAGACGTTCAGGATTTCCCAACATGTTGACTGCCAGACTCTTTTCAAAACCCCTTTTTACCTGTCTTATTTGCTTTTTCACCTTCCTTCTGAATCTTCTTTATTCCACCTGGTTCTAAATTTTAATTTCTATCTAATTTCAATCGTAAGCATAATTTTCCCCCTTCACCTTCATTCATAAGACCATGAGATATACAAGCAGAAGTAGGCCATTCAGCCCTTCAATTCTCCTCCACTATTCAATGAGATCCTGGTTTTCTGATATTCCTCAGCTTCACTTGCATGCCTTATCGCAATAACCTTAATTTCCTTACTGATTAAAAATCTGATTAATTGATCACTGTGCCTTAAATGTTTTCCACTCAGACTTGACCCACTTCAGTGCCAGGGATCAGGGCTAGCAGTGCTTCCTTTCTCTTTGAGAGTAAATAGACATTGCTGTTAAAGACTTCCTGAACACACTCTTGGAACTCTTGCCCTGCACTGTCCTTTTCATTATGGTATTCTAATCAAAATGCAAAATATTGTGGAAGCTGAAAAGCTGAAACAAACACAGAGAATGCTGGAGAAACTCGTCTGTGGAAATGTATTGTGTTCAGAGTACATATCGTCGAGTATAGTTTGGTTCCTCATTTTATTGATTGCCATTCTCGCGTATACCCATCATCGCAAAACAAATCATAAGCACCAATGGCGAGATGTTTACCCACAACGCCCCACGGTAGGCAATGTCCTCTATCTAGGGCACAGGAGAACGGTGCGCAGGCGCAGTTTCCCCAGTACACCGAGCATGCGCGGAGACGGGGATGACAATGGGTCAGTACGCTTTTTTAAAACAAGAACAAAAACAAAGTTTTTGGAAAAGCTGAACAGGTCTGGCAGCGTCTGTGAAGGAGAAAACAGAGTTAACGTTTCGGATCCGGGGACCTTTCCTCAGAACTCTTTTTTAGAACGCTTTTTTAAGAAATTCATCTGCAGACGGTGAGGATGCGGGACAATGGCGGGATCGCTGGAGCCGGCGGAAGGCACGCAGAGGGTTTATAGACACATATTAAATAACTCGAACCCCGATTAATAACCTGCAATTGCCTTATTTGTGTTCCGGGGGGCCGTTACCCAAAATCAGCTCCGGGTAGCCGGATTCGCTGGGATTAGAGCGCAAGCGTGCCCACTTGGTGTTGCCGTGCAGTGAGTGGGGTTTCAGGATTTCTGTTTTCCCTAACCGGGTCCTGGTGCCCCATTATCAATAACCAGAACACGGGCCGTGTATATATTCACTGTGACAGATTGTAATCTCTATCCAGCCACCCGAAGAGCCAGCTGCCCAACATTTGGTGACATTTCAGTTCCATTCTCCTGACTTGAGCTGAGCACTGTGGGGTCCATCGGGAACTCGGAGGATCTTCCTTCCGTTGAAACTAATTTGTGGGACCGGAATGGACAGTATGTTTGCAGAGGATCACTGTGGCTGAAGAATAGATATACGAGCATGGGTGAGCTAATTGGCCATCAAGCCTGCTCTGCCATTCAACAATATCGTGGCTCAGTTTCATTTTTCTGCCAGTCTTTGCTTCTCGTCTGCCATCGTTCCTATGCCTGGTTGTCCATGGAGAGGAAGGGTGCAATGACCTGCAGCAAACGTGACACCTAAATTTGATTCCTCAGAGTACACAGTGTCTCAGAGAGACTGAGAAACATATTCTGATTTAGTTAGAAAGGTTCCCATTCTATATCCCTTTCTTGGACTTTGTTGCTGATTTTGGATAATTCTAGTTTGTTTGGATGAACAAAAGAGCAAGGAAGAAGTCTCTTCAGGTAGTCATAAAGAGGCTACAACCTCTCACACTGTAAGCCTATATAAAGCCCATGGACTGTTCTCAGCAGCAAATATTGCCTCCCCATTGAGATCAGTGTTTTCTGATTGTTCCATCTAGATGACAGGCTCCCATCCCTGATGAACACGAGTGAACCAATTTCATGACAATCTGGCAGCTTTTCTGGTCACTGTTCCCTAGTGCAAGCCCCACAAGTTAACTGATCCATTCACCTTGATTTCACGATCTTCCTTTGTTTTTGTGCATTCTCTTACACTTTTCTTTTTGTTTTAGATCAATTCCGCAGTACTTTGGAATTTGAGGATGTACACTCAAGATACATACCAAACATCACACCAGAATCTGACAGCATTGCTTAATTTAGTGTACGTTGAAAATCATTGGCTTTTGGATATGGAAGGTGGACGCACCATTCACAGTGAAGAGAAACTGTCCACAGCTTCTGTATGTGCACGGTATTCAGGCGATCATCTGACTTTTTGAAACTAAAGTAAAGTCACACTGACAAGAAACTTTAGATATGTGGGGACTACGGAAGGGTTTCAATTACTCATCCAAGCTGCAAACACGTCAGCGCAGTCACACCAGGAAGAAATGATTCACCTGCTCCATGTGTGAGAAGGCATTCGTGAAGTCCTCCACCTGCTGGGTCACCAGTGGCTTTACACTGAAAAAGGCATGTTTCCCTCCTCTGAGTGTGGCAAGGAATTCATTCAGTCATCCCACTAGCTGACACACCAGCAAGTCCACACTGGGGAGAGACCATTCACCTGCTCCGAGTGTGGGAAAGATTTGTCCTGTTCATCCATGTTGAAACGTTAGCAGGTTCATTCTGAGGAGTGACCCTTTAAATGTGCAGACTGTGGGAAGTGCTATAAAAGCTCAAGTGGACTGATGTACTATCAATGTTTTCACGCTAAAGGGAAACAATTCAGGTGCTCTCACTGTGGGGTTGGGTTCAGGACATCATCAACTCTCATTGGACACCATCAATTTCACCCAGTGAGAGGCCATTCACCTGTTCTGAGTGTGGAAAGAAATTCACTCAGTCATCCAGCTTAATGAAACACCAGAGAGATCACAAGTAACTGCAGCGATTGGATTTTGTTGTTTGTTTGTTCGTGGAATCATGGCATCACTAGCTCGGCCAGTATTTGTCATCCGTTCTAACTGCCCAGAGGATGGTTAAGAGTCAACCATATTGTTATGGGTCTGGATTTATATGTAGGTCAGACCAGATCAGAATTAACAAAGGTTCCCAGACCCAGTGGCATGAAGAGTTGATTTCTGGTCTCTTATCCTGTTTCTGAAATGGTAATGAATGAATTGTTACAGGTGATTTAAAGGGGATAGACGAAAATGGGTTTTATTTTAATTCTTCCTGTTTTCTCAGTTATTACTGACAATCTCATTTTCCTCGCACCACAGGGTGTTACAGAAAAGAGGGCATGGTCAGCTGCAGCTGGTCACTTGAACTCTCACTGGACCGGAAAATTTAACTCTAATTTCTCTCCATAGATGCTGCCAGTCCTGCTGAATTTTTTCGGCAATTTCTATTTATGTTTCTAATTTCCAGCATCTGCAGTTTTTTTTAGGTTTTTCAATATTTATCTTGTATGTTTCAGAGGAGCCTCATTGATGAGGTTGGTGGGTTTTGGGTATTGAACATTAGGCCACAGATCAGCCATGATCTCTTTGAATGGCAGAACAGGCTTGAGGGTCTGAATGATCCACTCCTGTTCGTATGAAAGTCATCCATCTGCTGTGTGTAGCAATATTGCCCCTCATTGTTCACTTCACATTCATGTCTAACACACTCGATGCTGTTACTCGCTGAACAAATCTCCTGTGTTCAAACTAAACATGTTAACGTTCAGTCCACCCTCTACTGCCGCCTGGTTTTAATTCTCATCAAGGAATGTTGTCTCTTGTTACTATGTGAACGGTCACAAAGTGTTGATCCTGGACTCTCATGCCCCTGGA